GGGAAGGGATCCCAAGGCAATTGAAAAATGGGAATGATAACCAACAGTTCAATGCCGGAGAGTTCGAGTTCAGTTTATCCCTTATCTACTGGAGTATAATGTTAACCTCTGTTTCAAATTAATTCTGTGCTCGGAATAGGAAACCGTTATAATTAATAAGGCTATTTAGAATTATAATCATAACTTATCTGTCTCACTCTACCTAAATTGCTCTGGACAGCATGCGATGGGCCTACCATGTGTTGTTTAGTGGTGTATTGTGTTGTTTATTTACTCTAAGCCTTACAACTCATTAGTAGGAACAAGGCTCTAAATAAAAAAAAATATTGTCCATGTCGATCGTATATTTCCGCCATAATGGGAATTCAAATATTTCTTTTCGTACAACGAAACCAACATGGCTTTCAACCAAGCTGTAAGATAAACATGATGATTTCAATTCCCTGTTATGAATTTTCCATTTCTGGTAGCAACATTCCTGCATCCCAAACCTATGGTATTTAGATGTCGCAGTCGATTTGATATTCAAGGGCCTGCTCCTATAATTACGATTTCCGTGAAAGGGGTCGTCAATTTACGGACAAATTTGTAACACAGGATTTCAAACTATGCAGGTTGGTGAGAATTATGGTAAAGTTTTACGGTCGTCATAGTGATCTCATTGAGCAATATGAAGTTGGACGTGTTTGCTGCTCGTTAGTGTGCCTGTTGGTTCCGTTGTTGTATACCTTGTTCTTATTTAAGAACGTGACATTACTTTCTCTTCCGGAACACATGGTCTTATTATCCTTATCAATGGCTTTATTGTCAATTTCGTATTAATATGAAACTAGAAGTATAATTGATTATATAAATTTATTACATCACGAAAAAGATAAAATAACATAAAAAGAACACGACTCATTTTGAAAGTTATTCAACTGTTTGTAATTTGCATAAATTTGTCATTCGACATAAAAATAATTGTATTGATATTCCTATCTTGTTCCACACGTTAATATTTTCCAGAAAAAAAAAATCGTTTTTCGTCACTTCCGAGAACGTACATGAAACTACAAGTCAGCTGTGTCGTATATCCTTCTGTACCTTCGCCATGAAATGACCAGTGCTGATAGTAAAATAATTGGCAGTCATCCGTCCCCATAATGATTTGGCTTCTACATGGACTTAATTACTCTATTAACAGAGGAAGATATAGAACTGCAATTTGGCATGTACCTGTATAGTAATACACAGGTATGATTTTATGAAGGTAATGTTTTTTTTTCTACGATCATCTTGTTAATTTCGATGATTTTTTTCACTGAAAATGTTTTAAGCAAAAGCTTAGAGCCATGTTCGACATCAAGGAAATCTAGGAATATCGTGTTTACAATACATTGTTCCAGATCTATTTTTGGCAGTCATCTTAATCTTTTTTAATTGAAAGAGCAGTAATTCTCTCCATAGTACAGCTGTATATCTTATCTACATTCTTAACCATAGATTATGCTGACAAGCTTATCTCAAATTTTATTTCAGATTTTTTACAACAGAGTGTTCAGGCAGATCTCAAATGCTATTTCAGATTCTTTACAACAGAGTGTTCAGGCAGATCTCAAATGCTATTTCAGATTCTTTACTATAGAATTTTCAGTCAGATTTCAAATTTTAGAATCATTACCAGAAAACACTTTTGAAAAATTTGTCGCCTACAATTGTAATGAACCACCTACCCATATCAGAGTCATCTTGTCATACTGTATACTAAGATCTACATACACTTTGTATCAGGATGAGTCCATCAGACCCAAATTTCCATCAATAACACTTTTCGATAGCAAATTCAGACAGATGTGTTGGAGATAAGAAACAGCTTATCTGTATCTGGCCTTTTACTTGCATTGTGAATACGTCCTCAAGTAGCAATGTAATATCATGATTGTTTCCATATCCATATGAACCTCTGTCCTAAAAAAAAATCCAGAAACTCTCAGTTAATGTTCATTCTCAACTGATTAGGCGCGGATTCAGGATTTCGGGTTAGAGGGCCGCTTAAAAATCCCCAGTCTGCCTTAATCAAATATTGTGTCCTACTCCAATTCTTTTATATGTCTATATTCTATGTTTTATGCAAAGAGAGAGAAATTAATGACCTACGTCTGAAGCCAGGCGCTTAGCTAATTGAGGGTGCAGGGAGTCCCAGCCAAAGTTCCCCGAAAGCTGGAAAGAAATTAAGATGATTTGGCAAATAAGTTGCACTGACACGTCTCATTTGATTATAACTAAGTTACGAAGTTAGTAATTAATATAATTAATATGTAAATATAATATTAACGTATCAGTAGTAGAAAACTGATAGAACTCTTTTGTTAATGAAATGAAAATGCGAAACCCTAGTCTCATTCACAGACTATCACTCACATTTAATATGTCAAGTATTTGTCTATTCTCACGTGTCTGTATCCTTGGGCTTGGGGAAGACACTTAGGCACTTTACCCACTGGCTTGCATTCGACGGACCTCCCGTATGTTGTTCAGTTAGCTTACACTAGACACTACAACGGGATATCCCGACTCAAAATGACCCTGGCTGTTAACTGGGCGATCCAAATACATAATCGGATGAAGACGCGACTTTCAAGTATTTACAAAGTATGTAGTCTGATTCAATCAAACTCCTATAAATAGACACCGTTATGAGTCAGACGTGATATTTATGATATGGATTTCATACGAAGTCCCGTTTGCATTTGATTAAATTAATCGACTGGTTTTGAAGAGAAGGTCTACTAAAGAGAAGTTCAAAGCCAGCAATCTTTAAGCCTCTCCCTTTCCCTTCCTCTTTAGTTTCCAATATCTAATTCACTGTCTACGAGGAATAATGCAGAAATGACACTAGACTGTAAACTTTGGATTTCAATCTTCCGTGTGTATAGGAGACCGTATAATTATTATCATTAAGAAGAACCTTGTACCAAGCATCGTCTTGGGTGAACAAACCTGAACTCAGTCGAGAAATTACTTAGATATAATATTACTTGTCTGGAATAATAAGGAGATGGCTGTGGCAGTTTGATGTCTATCCATTAGCCAGTCTTCGATAACACCAATTCGTTTAGATAACCGCATACTCGAAGGTTTTGTGAGATCGTAGCAGTGGTTCTTCTAGTTTTATTCCGATTTTCAATAGTCTATGTTCTAGACACTTATTATATACAAGTCATATTTTATTGTCATGACTCTGAACAATTTTTCCATAGTACCAGCATATAAGGGGAGGCAACTCTTAATATATCCATTCATCCTAATTCCTTTAATCATAATTTGACACGCGCATTGCCTAACAGCTAGTGCTAGTGGTCAATAAATTGTCCATTTATTAACGTTAATCCGTTTTTGAGAAGTCCTTATGTCATAAAATTAGTTTTGGGCTTGTCTTTGTACTTTCACAATAAAGTGACGTCCGTAGTAAAACGCTGCATTTTAAGAACTTGTGTAATAGGGGGCAACAAAACAACATCCCATCACCCCTTGGATTCGAACTAGCGACCCTTCCGTCTCTAGTCTGACTAAAGCATCCCCGTCTCATATTGCCGGCTTCTACCCCTGAAGTAGTCAACGTTACCAAATCTATAATAGGAAGGAGTAATGAAAATTATCCTGTACCCACTGGGGTTCGAACTAGCGATCCTACGGTCTCTAGCCGGACAACTCTTTTCCTCGACTTAAGGGAAATGTCCTTACAATGTTTGTTAGATATATTTGAATTTGGGTGCTTGAAATGGTGTTGTGTAGGCAATTATATTTTTAATAATCCAATCAAAAGTTCTGCGAAGTTCCAATGGTACAACTGTATAAAGCTGATCACATATGCATTTTAAAACCAGTTTTATTACACGTAGGATCCCATAAAGCGTTTTCTTTTCTCGTTTTAACGATCGATGCATAAAGTTATTTGGAAATATGATGACAATTCAGAGAGAAACATAGGCCATTTCGACCTCGGGCTTAAGATATATCATATCTTAGTCTGTGTTTCGGCCTGACAATTCCAGAAAAGTGTCAGAAAATTTGGTCAAACCTAGAACAAATACAAACGTTCATGTTCCAGGCGCAATACTATGATCAGATTGTCAGTGACATAATCAGTTAAGAATATTTTCTATAACAATATCGTTATTTGATGTAATATTTATTTATTTTTCTGTTTAGAATTATAAAACGTGACCATATAAGATGTCATTTTACTCTAAAACAAAAGAAAAAACCCATTGTAACTGGTATCTTTAGAGTGGCTACAACTAATTTCTATTTACTCCATGAATTATATGTAATGTTGCTGTATATGAATTAAAAAAAACCCCAAGACCAGGCATATCATAGTATTGGGGAATACTACTATTCATTTAAATTATGAAGTAATTCACATGAAAAATATTTTTGAAAAATGCAAAATTGATTTTTTAATTACGATTAATCGAATAAACGACAGATCTGACAGAACAGAACTGAAACACTGCACGTGTCATACATTTAGTATTTTATATCAGTAATTTTTCATCCCGTTACTTGAGACATTTCCCTAGTCAACATTTCAAGCTAACTTCGGAAAAACCTTGTCTTGATATTTAGTCTGGCAAGATTTCAAGATGGCGGCCATGGCAGCAATTTTGAATATGACTATGACCATGTTTGTTACCACATTACATCACTAAAAGTCTTGTTTTAACATAGCATTCCTTTCACACGAATTACATTATGTCATTATATCATTATAGTAAGACGAATTTCCAGGTTGCAGCCGTAGCCGCCATCTTGGATGAGACTCATGTCCGAAATCAATCTAGGAACATACTTATTAGTGGAAGTTCTGATATGGCTTTCTGTTTTAAAAGAGTGTTGATAACATTCTGTTCTGACAAATTATCTTACGATAGGCAAGGGGGTACATATAGAGTAATGCCCCTTCCAGGATATTGCAGACGGCGTATAGACCGGAAGCAGTATTGTGGACAGTCATGGCCGACAACGAAGAGCTGACTGCGGAGCAGACGGAGAAACTTATTCAGTTTCAGGTTTTTCTTCTTTATTGCTAAATTCTTTCTATGTTAGCCTAGTCACTGAATGTTTTTTCAATTAAACTGTGATCACATGATCATTATTTGTTGCCTTTGTGGATGATTGAAGTCCAAAATGTTCTACAAGTGTGATTAGTAAAGGAGATTTCGCTATCTTTTACCAATTTACTTCCAGCTAGAATTAATATCTTATGTCTCATGAAGATAACATTATCTTGGATATTAAGATAAACATTCCTATTACACGCTATTGAGTTTTTGTCAATTATATATAAACTGTGCTTAAATGCTTGAGTTTACACTGTGTGCGTCATAATTTCATTATAGAAATGATCGAATATACCATTACACCTAGGTACGGAAATAATTAATCAATATTCCGGCATTGCAAAACACATAGATTCTGACATGTGTATCAGGGAATGGAAACCTGCTCCATACAAATGTATCAGCCTATAAGTAATTCAAGCGTTTTATTGATAGATGTATATCTACAACGGAGTCCCACAACCTTTTGAAACTAAATGACTTGATCAAATGATAATGCAAGATTGACGTGAACTATAGACTGTGGCAAAATAGCAGTAATATTTGTGAATTTTTGAAAAGGTTTCGGTTTTAACTTTTCACTTATGTCAAAAATAAGTGTATTAATAAGTATGTTTGAAATTAACTCAATAATAACCTCACAATTTGGTTGTTGTATGTGGATGTAAATGAATAACATATATGTAAACATGATCACAGAGGATGGAGATCAGAATAGTACCAATATTCTAAATTATGTGGTTTGTAGTTTCATCTTTATTTTATTTAATTTTGCTTGTTACAGGATCTGTCAGGAATTGAAGAGATAAGACGATGTCAAGAGATACTTCAACAACATAACTGGGACATTGAGGTAATAAAAGATTATTTTGTCACATCAATAGATTACCTACTGTACAACATACATGATTATTTATATCATGTAACCTTTTCTTCTGTTGTTAATTTTGGGGAAAAAAGAAGAAAAAATATTTGCCTCATTTAGGAAAAATATTGGTAAATATGAATAGAAATTTCCAGGTCATAATGATCTATAGTCATCACACTCAGTCCATTGTTGTCTCCCACGCGCCATCCGCCGTGTGTAAAATTTTGTGATATTTCAAACTTCTTCTCAAGGTCCACTAGTGGGATTGAGCTCAAACTTGCAAGAAATGATCCTGAGATGGTCCTGACCAATAATTTTTTTTTGTGGGTATGTCTGAAATCAAGATGGCAGTCATGGCTGCAATCTTGAAAAACAAATTTTAAACTTCTCCAGTTTCTCAGGTGCCATTGAACTAAAAATTAGTGGGAATGTTAAGGAAAGGTAGCCAACAATGTGTTATTATTTTTCCACCTTGTCAAAACTTTAATACAGCAGCCAGGAAGGCCATTTTGTAATATGAATGCTAAATCATGGTTTTCCTGTGCAACACCTATTTCAAACTTCTGGTCAAGTTTCACTAATTGGATTGAACTCCAACTTTACTGTCAAAAAAAAGGTAATACTTGTTACAGTTGCCTACTCCTCATCGAAACTACCATCTGCATTATGGAAAACAGTTTCTTAGTAAGATTTCATTCAAAGTAGAAAAAACAACACTTCTCCCTACTTAAAGGTTTTTGAGTCAGATGACCATTAAGGCCCTTAGCCTCTTGTTGGAGTTCTGATCTCTGACTTTGTTTTTTTTCCACTGACCTTATTCTTGCAAGTACTTGTAGTAATAAGGTAGTTTGATCATACTGCATACCATATTTTCTGGTTGTAAGGTGCACCAGTATATAAGCTGCAGAGCCAGTTTTAGCGATTCTTTCAAATTGACCTACATATAAGCAACACCGTATTATAAGCCACACCCTTTCTTATGAAGTGGTAACTGTTATTTTGACCAAACTTAATTGATATAACAGACAACACAGGGCAATTTATCAAGATCGTTAGTGAAACATTTAATGAAGTTTGGTAATTAATTATACACAGATAATCCTTTATTTTATTGATGTATTTCATAAAAACATAAAATAGCAAATATAGAACTTGTTTGGCTTTGGTGCCTTCACAGATTGTTTACGCACAGATATAGGGTCTGACGTTAAATACGGTTTACTTAACAATCTCTCTATCTGTACTGTTAGATATTAACAAAGGCACTTGCATGATGACCAACTTCTTATAGTCTCATATTATTTCTTGTAAGTTACATGAAGCCATCTATATCATAAACAAGCATGGTGGTTGTTCTAGAATTTGATCTATAACCTGATGACTTATCAATCGCGGGATGCCAAAGGCAGCAAAATCCAGAGAATATTATTGTGATTCCAATTAAAGGGCTTAATTAAATCCACAAAAATGTTATTTTTATTTTAATCTTCAAACCATCCTGTATACAATTGCAAGTGACTGTTCTAGACAATTTGTTTCAGTCACAAACATGTGACAGGCAGGTACTTTTAAAAAAACTCAGTACTATTGTGTACTGGTGTGCTTCCTGCTTCTTTTTATTTTTTCATCCTGCCGACTTTTTTCCTCCACATATAATCCGCAATGGTATATAAGTTGCAAGCCTAACTCACCAGGAAAATGATGCGGCTTATAATTTGCAAAATACGGTATATAGAAAGTTCATTATCAAAGTGCTATATATTAATGTGATCACTATTAGGGGGATGTTCTATATGTTGTTCTGAATAGATAATCAGTGACAAATTATTTCAGGTCGCAGTACAAGACACTTTCAATGAGAGAGAAGGTGCACCCTCAGTGTTCAATGAACCACCACCACCTCCAGAACCCAGACAGCCCACAATGAACTTGCAACCTCCAGACCAGAGGTGAGTATAGGTTTTATATGGTTGTTGTTGAGTATGTCACAACTAGAACAACTAGGGCTGTTGGAGGCTAATCTTTCCATAGTGGCTGGATCGAGGCTACCTCGCAGAATATCAAAGTGTAGGGCAATGATATGTTATCTACTGCAAATGGAATAAGGTGTCTGACTCAAGAACAAAAATAATGTAATTGACCATTATCTGTAAGAAATCTTACAGTAGCCAATTGACAACCATAAGGAACTTTCTAGTAGAGTTTAAGTATAATTTTCTGTTATCTGTTATTTACAGAGTGTTTACAGTAGCCTGTCAACCACCACAGGGAATTTTCTAGTGAAGTTAAGATAAAATCGTCTATTATCTGTTATTTACAGAGAGTTTACAGTAGCCCGTCAACCACCACAGGGAATTTTCTAGTGAAGTTATGATAAAATCGTCTATTAACTGTTATTTACAGAGAGTTTACAGTAGCCCGTCAACCACCACAGGGAATTTTCTAGTGAAGTTATAATAAAATCGTCTATTATCTGTTATTTACAGAGAGTTTACAGTAGCCCGTCAACCACCATAGGGATTTTTGCTAGTGAAGTTATAATAAAATCGTCTATTATCTGTTATTTACAGAGTGTTTACAGTAGCCCGTCAACCACCACAGGGAATTTTCTAGTGAAGTTATAATAAAATCGTCTATTATCTGTTATTTACAGAGTGTTTACAGTAGCCCGTCAACCACCACAGGGAATTTTTCAATGGAGTTACTTCATTATGATGTTTCCTTTTCGATTTGCATACACCAGTATATTAGACCTATTAAGATTTGTTTGTGAGTATATACATATTTATATAAAATAATTTATAAGTATAACGCAGATTATTACTGTATTGTTGGTGTTCATGAGAGATTGTTTACTCATTCAGAGGTTTGAATTGAGTTGTGTATCAAATGTAATTTTTCTATCCTGCAATATTTGGGCTCAATTTTCACTATGTCAACACCAGTACACTGTATTGAAAAGTTTACCAGAAAGGGTATTTTAACAGAATTCTTTCTGCATTGCAAGAGTCAAGCCCTTCCTAAAATCTACAAGCTTTAGTATGATGATATTTGTACTGTATATTGACGTGGCCTTTGTTAAAGGCTCACAGTCTATTACCACTGTCAAAGTATAATGCATAATTACACTGACAACTGCATTAAGTTCACATTTACAGAGTGTCCAAATTTTTATGTTTATGTGGATTGTTTTCATGTTTATGTGTTTATTTGATTACAGTTCGATTAATTCGTCCAGATCCCAGAAGAAGTAAGTTTTAAACACAAAGATATAAGTATGAGGCATAAACCAAATACATCTATATATTCTCAAGAAAGAACATATCACAAAATTTCATGCGAGTAAGAATTTTTTAAATAACAATGTTGAGCTCCTGACTTACGTTTATGATTTGCTTTAAGACATATAATGGATAAAGATTATATGAGGAAACTTACTTCTAAATAAGTCGATGCCAGTCAATGCTGATAATGTTTGTTTCTGTGTACAGATGTAACAGATCCAATTGGTGATGTAGAGAGATTTATAGCGAACATATAAGAATAAGTATGAGGCATAAACCAAATACATCTATACGTGGTTCTTATAGTCAGAACATATCACAAAATATGGTGAGGATCACCTAGCAATTCTACCGTGGTTCTTTAGTATGATTTGTTTAATACATATAATGGATAAAGATTATATGATGGTTCTTATAGTCAGGTAGTGGTATATATGATGAGGATCACCCAGCCTTCTACCGTGGTTCTTATAGTCAGGTAGTGGTATATATGATGAGGATCACCCAGCCTTCTACCATGGTTCTTATAGTCAGGTAGTGGTATATATGATGAGGATCACCTAGCCTTCTACCGTGGTTCTTATAGTCAGGTAGTGGTATATATGATGAGGATCACCCAGCCTTCTACTGTGGTTCTTATAGTCAGGTAGTGGTATATATGATGAGGATCACCCAGCCTTCTGCTGGGGCTCTTATAGTCACGTATGTGTATATATGATGAGGATCACCCAGCCTTCTACCGTGGTTCTTATAGTCAGGTAGTGGTATATATGATGAGGATCACCTAGCCTTCTACTGTGGTTCTTATAGTCAGGTATGTGTATATATGATGAGGATCACCCAGCCTTCTACTGTGGTTCTTATAGTCAGGTATATGTATATATGATGAGGGTCACTCAGCCTTCTACTGTGGTTCTTATAGTCAGGTTTGCGATATTTATACACATGTTAAGTTTTATTCTCACTTATCAATCTTCCATATGGAAGAACACGTGTTAGATTAGTTGGTAGCTAAAAATTCTAGCTGTATAAGTAAGGCTACACATAATAGGCTTTAGTATAAGTCTTAATGCAAGGTAATGCAATACTGCTTTATGCAGATTTTAAAAGATTTGTTTGTTGCAGGCCCTTAATGATGCTAAGAGAGAGTTACGGTTCCTTTTGGTATATCTCCATGGTGACGATCACCAAGATACTCAATCATTTTGTAGGTAAGTTGGTTCAAGGTACAGACCCTATTATCGAAAAAATAAAAACTTTTTTTCAAGGAATGTAAGAATAGGGGCCAAGTGATTCTAACAAAGATAGTGTAGACATAGAGACATGTTCCTTTGGATTCTGTCAGAGATCTCACAAGGGATTGGAACATATCCCTGTTGATTCTTCCAGGAATTGAGATTTGCTGGTTGATTCAGCCAGACATCTTGTAGAAGTGAAGCCACATCCCCGTTATTGAGAGATTTTCTGATTGATTCTGACTGTCAGAGATCTCACAGAGATGGAGACAGATACTTGTCAATATTGCCAGAGATCTCCCAGAGATGGAGACAGATACTTGTCAATATTGCCAGAGATCTCACAGAGATGGAGACAGATTCTTGTCTATATTGTCAGAGATGTCCCAGAGATGGAGACAGATTCTTGTCTATATTGTCAGAGATGTCCCAGAGATGGAGACAGATTCTTGTCTATATTGCCGGAGATCTCCCAGAGATGGAGACAAATTCTTGTCTATATTGCTGGAGATCTCACCGAGATGGAGACAGATTCTTGTCTATATTGCCGCAGAGTCTAAGTTTATATTTTTTTCTTAATTTTAGATTTCTCCTAGTACATGTACCATATTTTGTCTAAGTTTCATTTCATAGTATTTTATAAATGTATTGGATATTCATCTGTTTATACATGTATATATAATTTAATGTTTTGTAGAAATACTTTAGGAAATGCAGATGTTCGAGACTTCATCAATGGAAGGGTATTATTTTGGGCCTGTAATACGAATAGTCCAGAAGGATATAGAGGTAAGATAAAATGTTGATACCTTCGTGTTGCATGTATGAAATTACATTTGTATTACATTTATTATAGTTTCAAGGGTGTTTAGAGAATGCTTCTACCCTTTGTTAGCTGAATTATTCTGGATGTGCAGTGATTATAATACACACAGCTGTTTTTATCTCAGTGTCAAAGGCATTGAGAGAAAACACCTACCCTTTCTTAGCTCTTGACTGTGCAGTAATAAAATAACACAATGCTATTTTTATTACAGTGTCAAGGGCATTGAGAGAAAACACCTACCCTTTCTTAGCTCTAGTTGTACTTCGACAGAACAAAATGACGGTAGTAGCACGGATAGAAGGTCCAGTGGGTAAGTCCAGATATTCTGTACCTCATTGTCTAACATAAATACAACAAAGGCAAAAGAGAACATGAGAATCAGGTTGTCCAATTGTCTAGCCAACATTTTAGATGAGGTATTTAGGAGAGCTAGTGCTTTACACCAGATTCAAAAATTATTTGAGATTGATGTGTTTTGTCTGTCCAGACTGACATTTCGATATATAGGTGCTTAGAGGTGTGGTTTTACAAAAATATTTCAAAGTGAACATGAGAGTAAGGTTGTACATCTGTCTTTCTGTCCTTGATAACATTTCAAGTGTAGGGGTTTAATGGAGTTACCTGGCTCATTGAAATTGCAGAAATTCCTTCCATGAATTCTTTGTGAACTTGGAGTTCGGTGTGTTAAACTACATAGATTTAAATTGTATATCATTATTATAGTAAAGTTCTCTGATCCAGTTTAGAAATTGTATACACCAGTAAACAGACCTTTTAACACTGTTCTACAGGTGGTCAGGAACTTATAGAGAAGTTGGAGCATGTGATGAATGAAAATGAAACATCACTTGTTGCTGCTAGAGCAGAAAGGTGAGTATCTTACACAGAAGAGGATGACAGTATCGAGGGAGATATTAGGGTGGTAAAACATTTCAATATATTTATCCTGCATTTCACTTTAGGGATTAGCACATTACTTCTTGTCCAAAGTCAAGGGATGGGCTTATTACAGGACAATGAATTAGAATTGTTTTGTAATTTTACTTAACAACAAATCTTTTGGTGGGCTTATTAACATGCGTAGCCTTTTTAGCTGGATAAATGAATTAATTAAAATATCCTAAAATCATCAAATTGTAATGCAGTTTGTAATCTTTTTCATTATAAACTTTTTATGCATTCTACAATTTGAAAAATAAAAACTAAAAATAGAAAAAAAGGAACTTTGTCGGTAATAATTCAGTGCCTCATATTAAATGAACGCTTTCTATGTCACAGTTGATATTTACTTTGAATACAATTTTAATTTCAATGAATTGTTTACTAAATTCTGGGGTTCTGTCAGATTTGGCAGGTACAACATCCTTTGATGTTTGTGGCATTGTGAGTTTGTAGTCACAATCACTGAGATTGCATTACTAAACTTATTAAATGTCAGAATCCATACTGTGTTATTTATAGTGATTTATTGATAAAGAAATGGAGAATTCGGACAATTGACTTCAGTACTGATAGTAATGTATAATTAAGAAATGTAACTATACACATAAGGTAGTAGTATAGAACACAATATGTAAGTAATAGTTGGAATATTTTTTCCAGAGAAGAAAGAAATTTCACACAGACTTTGAGACGCGAGCAGGATGAAGCCTACTTAGAGTCATTAAGAGCAGATCAAGAAAAGGTTGGAGTAGGATACTAAAACACACTTCTGTAAAATCATCAATTTTTGTGGGAATTTTATTTCAGTTGATTTCATGGACAATCTTGATCTATGAATTCATATGTCTTCGAATGGTTAAAATTGGTACAAGTAGATTTATTGAGCTTTATTTATCAACAAAGTGTCAACGAAAATAGGATTTAAAAAAAAAAATGAAAATCAGTCGTTCCCCCCCCCCCTCCCTGAAAATACATGATTTTACATTCATTTTATAGTATATGAAATTGATAGATAGATAGAATTATTTCAAGTAATTTTTGGATAGGATTCAATCATTCTGGACATAAAATTCATTCATTATAAGATCATTTGCTCTTTTGAAAACCATCTGTGTGCCTGTGATTTTCTAAATTGAATTGTATCTACTGTTAGTTGTTGATATCCAGAGAACAAAATGTACCTCTCATAGATAGCACCTGACATTAGAAAAACTGATATCTTTGCATCTGCAGGAAAGAACTCGACGTGAGGATTTAGAGAAACTGGAAAAAGAAAAACAGAAAGTAGTGGATGCAGAGATGGAACGACAAAGGATGCTTGAGGTAACATAAGAAAGTTGATTTAGTACCAAATTATCAGTGTCTGTATGTCTTTCATAACTAGGGCATAGACTTATTGACAGATTTATTAGTCTTCTTTTAACTTCCCAATAATTCCTGTACTAACATACAATATCCAGAGTGATTGAATTTTTCTGCTGTCTGTGAGGTGAGTTAAATATTTGAAATTGTGGCTGTAGCTGAAGAAAACGACAAAATAAACAAGTTTAAAAAATTTTCAGGAAAGGGAGCAAAAGAAGGAGGATTTGAGAAACAGTATTCCTGCAGAGCCTGAGGCAGATCATCCAGACCGAGTACAGATTGTACTCAAACTTCCACATGGAGATCGTGTACAGAGAAGATTTCTGAAGTCTGACTCACTTAAGGTATACTCACTAAAGATCAATATAAATGTGGACATCTTTATTCAGAAAAATGTTCAAATGTACCTGTCTTTTGTAATTACTTTTAAAAGATTTTCAGTTTTGTAAATGTATGTCATATCTACATATTTGGAAAACAAGGAAATGAAATCTTCACAACAACAGGTTTTTCAAAATCAATATTTTTAGGATATTGTTAGATTTTTAATAATCTGTATCAAACGTTATCAGCATCACGTGGAATGTGGAAAATTAACCTTTTGCTGAACATGTATTTATCCCCAATAAAAAATATTAATTAACTTTTATTATGTCCACAAATTTTTCAATATATATGACTTCATTTTGTCTTTACCATCTTTTCATCTGAAAGCTCAATTTCTCACCCCTCCAATGATTTTCTCATTTGCTCATGTGATGATGATAATAAGTTATGAGGAATAATCTGATTGGGTGGATATTTCAGTGTTATAGCATAAAGCTGACAGATCAAGTAATAAAGCTGTCATACTGTGATTTAACAAAAATGAACAAAATAACAGTTTTCAGAATGCTTCAGAGATGTTCCTCTGAGATGACAGTCCAGGGGTCATCACATCTAAGGTAGTGTCAGCCTTGTTTGGAAACCCTTATAGGTATCAATAGCTCTGGAGGTAAAGGGCAGAACCTACATCATTCCATATTTGTCTGTTTGAAGAGTTACATGCCTGCACCAATGCCATGTGACTCAGCTGATTGACAGTTGGAAAAGACCAGCAAATTTACCTGTAGATGATGATATTGTGTTCAACACACTTACCTGAGGATGATGATATAGTGTTAAGATCAACACACTTACCTGAGGATGATGACATAATGTAAAGATCAACACACTTACCTGAGGATGATGACATAGTGTAAAGATCAACACACTTACCTGAGGATGATGACATAGTGTAAAGATCAACACACTTACCTGAGGATGATGATATAGTGTAAAGATCAACACACTTACCTGAGGATGATGACCTAGTGTTAAGATCAACACACTTACCTGAGAACAGTGACATAGTGTTAAGATCAACACACTTACCTGAGGACAGTGACATAGTGTTAAGATCAACACACTTACCTGAGGATGATGATATAGTGTAAAGATCAACACACTTACCTGAGGACAGTGACATAGTGTGAAGATCAACACACTTACCTGAGGATGATGACATAGTGCAAAGATCAACACACTTACCTGAGGATGATGACCTAGTGTTAAGATCAACACCCTTACCTGAGGATGATGATATAGTGTAAAGATCAACACACTTACCTGAGGATGATGACCTAGTGTTAAGATCAACACACTTACCTGAGGATGATGACATAGTGTAAAGATCAACACACTTACCTGAGGATGATGACATAGTGCAAAGATCAACACACTTACCTGAGGATGATGACATAGTGTTAAGATCAACACACTTACCTGAGGATGATGACATAGTGTAAAGATCAACACACTTACCTGAGGATGACATGAATTCACATTAATTTTACTCAGCAGATAGTTTCCTAATTGTAACTTGTAGATGATTTTCATTTATTTGTTTTCTTTTCCAACTATCTTTCTATTGAATGTCATATTCTTAAAAAGATGTGTCACATTGTACTGACATTGATCAATGATAATCAGTTTGACACCAACAACTGTTTCCAAGCAAGATAGACACTCAAATATCAGCACTTCCTTAGATATGATGACAGGATGATAGTGTCATCTCAGGGGGCATCTCGGAAGCATTCTGAAGACTAGATATGATGACAGTAAGATAGTATCATCTCAGGGGGCATCTCGGAAGCATTCTGAAGACTAGATATGATGACAGGAAGATAGTGTCATCTCAGGGTGCATCTCAGAAGCATTCTGAAGACTAGATATGATGACAGTAAGATAGTATCATCTCAGGGGGCATCTCGGAAGCATTCTGAAGACTAGATATGATGACAGGAAGATAGTGTCATCTCAGGGGGTATCTCAGAAGCATTCTGAAGACTAGATATGATGACAGGAAGATAATGTCATCTCAGGGGGCATCTCGGAAGCATTCTGAAGAATAGATATGATGACAGGAAGATAGTGTCATCTCAGAAGCATTCTGAAGACTAGATATAATGACAGGAAGATAGTGTCATTTCAGGGGGCATCTCAGAAGCATTCTGAAGACTAGATATAATGACAGGAAGATAGTGTCATCTCAGGGGCTATCTCAGAAGCATTCTGAAGACTAGATATAATGACAGGAAGATAGTGTCATTTCAGGGGGCATCTCAGAAGCATTCTGAAGACTAGATATGATGACAGGAAGATAGTGTCATCTCAGGGGGCATCTCAGAAGCATTCTGAAGACTAGATATGATGACAGGAAGATAGTGTCATCTCAGGGGGTATCTCAGAAGCATTCTGAAGACTAGATATAATGACAGGAAGATAGTGTCATTTCAGGGGGGGAACTCAGAAGCATTCTGAAGACTAGATATGATGACAGGAAGATAGTGTCATCTCAGGGGGCATCTCAGAAGCATTCTGAAGACTAGATATGATGACAGGAAGATAGTGTCATCTCAGGGGGCATCTCGGAAGCATTCTGAAGACTAGATATGATGACAGGAAGATAGTGTCATCTCAGGGGGCATCTCGGAAGCATTCTGAAGACTAGATATGATGACAGGAAGATAGTGTCATCGCAGGGGGCATCTCGGAAGCATTCTGAAGACTAGATATGATGACAGGAAGATAGTGTCATCTCAGGGGGCATCTCGGAAGCATTCTGAAGACTAGATATGATGACAGGAAGATAGTGTCATCTCAGGGGGCATCTCGGAAGCATTCTGAAGACTAGATATGATGACAGGAAGATAGTGTCATCTCAGGGGGTATCTCAGAAGCATTCTGAAGACTAGATATGATGACAGGAAGATAGTGTCATCTCAGGGGGCATCTCAGAAGCATTCTGAAGACTAGATATGATGATAGAAAGGTAGTCATCCATTTTCAAAGATTTGTATCTTGCATTGTTAACTTTAATCTGATAGGTATGGCTGAAGTTATTCCCTTTTTATCTGATTTCACAAGTTACCAATGCTCATTTGGTTTTGAATATTGCGCTCAAGAATGTTATTTTTTTTTGTTTTCAGCACTTGTATAATTTTGCTTTTTGCCATGAACAATGTCCAGACGACTTTCATATAGTGACCAATTTTCCGCGGCGGACATTACCATGTGAACCTACAGAGGAAGTGCCAGAACCTCCCACATTCGGTGAGATGGGATTAGGCAAGACAGAGATGTTATTTATACAGGATAACGAGGCCTAGCAATATATATTACAAATAATTCCAGGTTTTTGTGTCTCAGTGGCGCAGTCACGGAGATCGCAACATTTTTTGTTTGTTGAAAGCTCTGAAAGTTGTCATGTGATATAAGAGTTGAATTGTCTAAGTGTTGTTTGAAAAAAAAAATGTTTTTTGTTTTTTTCAAAAAACATTTTGTGAAAGATTTTGCATCATGTGAATGTTGAAATGATTTCAATCATAATGATATACTGGATGGGACAGAAGACTCTCTGTCCAAAAATATTTGGCAATATTTCAAATTGCATAAATATTTTGTGACTCTTGATTTATTTATGAGTGGAAGATTTGTTTATAAGATTCAATGTCCCTGAAATGTTTTATGAGAGAAATGCTTCATTGTTGTTACAATTTTTCTGTCGTTCTTGTAAAATTATTTTCAGGTTTAAATCATTCAAATGATTTGACAGAATGCTTTAAAGAATTTGGATATGCAATCCAGTATTTTATTTGTTGCTTGAGGTATGGCAGACACTGTGCAGGTAGTGTTGAGAAGCTGGTATTGAAAAATGTTTGAGATCTGATCTAGAATTAGAAATGAATTGGACAGAAAAGTCTTCATACCCAAAGCGGTATATTGATATCAGTCCACACATGTGAAAGGAATGTTCCAAGCTTATTTAAGGTCGTTATGTGAAATGTCATTGCCAGTTTCAATGTCCTTTGTAAAGTTAAAAAACGAGGAATTTATGTGTTTTTTTTTTCATTTTCAAACCAGATCAGTTGGTCATCTGGATTTTCATGGTTATAATGTTTCATCTTTGAATCGTGTTTAGAAAAACAGTCCGATCTCCTCTATCATCATAAAATTTGAAATTGACCAAGTGTCAGGAGAAAAGGTCATCATTTCTGCGATTGATATGTTAATTTTTTTTTTAATGTATTCAAATGATTCAATTGGTGAAGATTGCTATTAATTGAAAATTTTGGGATTCAATCATATTTTTCAGTTCAAGTTTGATATTTATCTTTCTTTTCTGTATCATTGCTGTTTTGTTGTATTAAAGTGGATCAAATTACGTGTATCAACAGTTTCTACTATTACAGAATACCTAGAAATCCAGAAAGGCTGCAGTATCACACTTCTACTGTCCTTTCAGTACTTATAATGTGTTTACACTAATACTATACCATGTATCTGCACTTGCTTGATTCCATTACTGGCTTCAAAGACCTTATTGATTGGTTGTTAGAGTGTAAAGATTAGAAACACAATAAATACAGAAAAAGAGCTTGATACCAATTGTAATCTACTTTAGGCAATGGTGTTAAATGATTAAGATAGGGGATAAAAACAGTATATAACTGGATTGTAGGATGATGTTTTTCTATGTTTGAAGATGTTCAAAACATTTAAGGTTATTGAATAACTTAAGCATTTAAAGTACAACATTTGAAAAAAGTTTTTGATTTCATAGAGATGAATATTTGTTATGATAGACTTAATTGTTTTCTTGAATTATGGAAGGTGGATTCTTAATATATCTATTGGGATTTGTGTTCATAGTTAATAGCCTATGACAAAATGATATACCTTGGTACTACACATCAGATTTAGGTCACTGTACTAGATAATTTATTTGATTTACCCCATCAATATATTAAATCCAGTCTGTAATTCACTTGCATATGCTTGTGAACACAATATTCTTGATTTTTAGGTGCTTACTTTTACATAGAAATATTTTTATGACAACCATTTTACTTATGTTTGAGTTACCTCCCTTGTTACACTATACATTGTAACACTAGATAATATTGAGTCATCAACCTTTCAAAACTAAAATTTTTCAAAAATTGTAAGGTCAGAAGATTTTACAACTACTGTTTGTTTATGTCATTTTAAAGGATACAGGGAAATGTGTCTTGTGGCCAAAATAGGTGCATCTTTGTTTCACCATAAATGATTCTTTTGACATGCATATCTTTACAAACATGTACTGGTACCTGTTTATATTGAGACTCATATTTAAATTTCCTTGGGTACATACAATGGTGTATAACAACTAGTGATTCAGTCTGCATTTTCAATCTAGTCCAATTAGTGCTGGGTAACTTGTCTTCCTATGTTGAATGTTTTTTATTCAAATTATTAATGCTTGGGAAGACTCCAGATAAAATCTTGAGAATAACTTATGTTTTAAAGTTGTGATTGGGTCTTAGGTTTCTTCATTCATCTTTTTTTTTTGTTCCAACAGAGAAGCATCACCCTGCTAAAGCTTTCCCATTTTTTTTTCTAGTTTTCGTGTCATGAAAATTATTTTTGAGTTGGCAATAATACTGTAGTGTGAATTCTGTGTCTCTATATATATATTCTATGTATAGTTTTTGTGTATACGGCTTACATAGTCCTTACGAGACGAAAATACAAATGTATTTCATGAAAAAGACCCCTGTAATGACTGTAAGTAAACTTACACAATTTTGAAATTTTGCTTCAACTTTGAATTAAATAGTAATTAGCCGAGTATTTTACCTCTTTTTACCTGGGTAAATATTCCAAGTGTCTCTTTTTTCCATTCACTGAATACTATGAGCTTTTCTAGATACTGTATCACCTGCTATTTTTAAGTAGAGGAGATCTTTGCTATTTTGTGGAGCAGTAACGTGAAGGTAACAGTGCCAGCTGTGAAATTAAAGGACACAATATACTCCATGGTAACGTCAATAGTACAGAATACCCCTGGTACTTGCATTTAAAAACATGAAATACCATCAACAGAAATAAGGATAGCAAAATTCTAAGAAGAATTTAATTATCTTCATTTAAATAAAATTGTGAAATTTTGACCCATTTTGAAAATAACTGGCTATATGATATACATGTGAAGCGACCCAGTGTATATAGAAATACAGTGAACTTGTAGTCAGGAAAATTATGATCTGATGAAGTAGTATTGTGTATAAAAGACTTTTGGGGACCAGTTTTTAGATACAGTTCTTGCACCTCGGAAAGTGATATCTTGTGTGATCTCCTTCACTAGATTTCATCCGTACTAATTATGTGACATTTAATGTTGAATTTCTTTTTGTTTCACATTGATTTGTATTCATCATAGAATGGGTTATTTTTCCTGGGATGATATTTTCAATATTTCGTAGTAAATTGACATGATCACAAAAAATCAGTATAAGACAAAATTCATTCACAATACTACAGTACATACCACATTATAAGCTTCACTCTGAAGCAGACTTATAAGCTTCACTCTGAAGCAGACTCATAAGCTTATCTCTGAACCAGACTCATAAGCTTCACTCTGAACCAGACTTATAAGTTTCACTCTGAACCAGACTAACATAACTACTGTAGTGCAGAGACCACCATTTTAAGAAAGTTAATATTCCTAACCTAATGAGGTGCGACAAGCAATCATTTCGAGAAAAATCAATTACAATTTTGGGCTAATGATAAAATTTGGTATCATTTACTTAGTTTTCTATGACAAGTATCTGCTTTTAATGACAAAATTTCACATAAATAAACTGCAAAACTTCTCCATATTGATTTTAATAATAACTGTTTGTCACGCATTCAGAAGAGGTACGTGATATATACTGATGTTACTGGGAAATATATGTGCGATACTTAGAATTTGAATTTTGTTTTGTTTTTCCTATTGTAAAACAAAATGGATAGCTTTCTGCCCTGTTGGATGACAATGAGGAGAGTATTATCCAGACATTCTATCAAGTGTCTTCATATCAGTCTTGAGTTATTATTCCCTTTTCATGATTAAGTGTCCAAAAAAGTATTTAAGTTACGATTTTAAAAGATTTTACATAATTATTTGAATGATTTTTTTTGTATTTTTTCATATCCTGAAGGAGAGAATTTACAACTATCTGGTTCATCTATGTAGAAATTAGGAAAAAGAAATAAAACACCTCAGAAATGAAAAGAAATGTTTTAATGTATATTTAGTCATTTTACTTTCGATTTGATGGTGAAAGACATCTTTACATATTTCAATTTAATGCATTTAACTCTGAGCATTTATTATTCCTATGTTTTTCATGATTTTGTTACAAGTTGACAACTTTGTTCAACATTCAGCTTTTGCGCTTTTGCGCTTTTGCTTAGTAAAAGTAGAGGTACATTTATTACAACCTTAAGAAAGAATTATTTTGGAATGCAAAGTCAGGAAACAAAATTACAATGTGTTTTAGTCACACTAAAGTTTGTTGATCTTAGTCACACTAAAGTTTGTTGATCCATAATATACCTGTTATCTACATTGTATGGGTATCAAACAAAGTTCACATCTGACTGGAAAGAAAAGATGAGAAAAGGAAGACGGAAAGAAACAAAACACACCTTAAATCGCAAAGTGTATTCGTAATCATTATTCATTATTTACTTTGATTTCGCCTAAAATACATTCAAACATTCGAAAATATTACAGAGTTAAAGTGTGATATATGTTTCCCATTTATTGAAAGTCTGTCAGCAGAATGCCCTGTAACAGATTTACATACATACAAAACAAAAATTCTATACCAGTATCATTTCAACCTTTGAATTGTTTTCAGTGTTAAGTTTGAAACACTGTTGAATTCTCTTCTATTCTGGAGTCACAATTCGAATTAAAAGTCACTTTTCCTCAGCTGTGCAACTTGTTAGATCCAAATCATAAATATCAAGTGTGTCTGTATTTAGGATGTTTAACAGAAGAAACACTGTAGTTGTTAATTCCATTTTATCTTTTACCGAGTATGTGAGTGTTACAGCATATAACCATTCTGATATTCTTGGCTTACCTCCCTTTGTTTCAATCTGCCGAAAGCGATAAGCTTGACAGCCCAGGATGCACATATCCAATCTGTGTTTGTATTTAGTACTGGAATATCAGGACCTAACTTGGAAAAAAAACTGCGAAGTGTTGTCAATAAAACAATTGAATATTTCAATTATGTAAGAGAATTTAGTATGTACAGATGTAATCTTGATATATCTTAGGAATTCATCAGTGTATTTCCATGTGTAGGATATATATCATGTTGTGATGAAATGGACAATAGTTCAGGGCATAATATATTATTTATTTTAATGCTGTAAAACTGTTTTAAGAATTTTTTT